TTGTCTCCATATATAGATAACATTTGTCATAAATAAAAAAATTATTTTTTATTTTTTCCAGGGAGTACTAAGATAAAAAAAAATTTGGATATCACAAAAATTTAATGACAAATGAAATACTGCTTAATTGTAAAAAAAAAATATATATAACCCGGAGGGTCAACCTGCCCCCCACGGGTTGAATCCATTTTGACCTACTTTTAGGCAGGACAGGTTGAAGTGGGTTGAAAACTTCAATCCAACCTTTCCCCTTTTGGCAGGCTGACCAGTCGGGTTCAACCCATATTGTCACGTCTACCTTACGTTCAAGAATCATATGATTGCGTAAAATCATATGTCTATCCCTAACATAATAAAGGTTACGATGAAGTTATCATGTACGGATCATGCATCAATATTCCTAGTGCCATGCACTTACGCCTAAGATCAATCTACAAGATTCAAGCTCAAAGAAAGCATTATGAAAAGATAACTTCATTCAAAATAAAAAGGAAGAGAAACATCAACAATTCATTCAAAACATAAAAGATCAATTGGATTCCATCTGACCCTAACTACAAATAAAAACTTAACCTAACATGGTGAAGTCAAGAATGAAGGAAAACAATAATCATCCCTAAACTCCATTGATATGATAGTATCTGAATCTTCAAAGTTTCCTATGCAAACTTGATTCCAACCCATTTCTACTCTCAAGAACATGAACTATGCTTCTCCTCTGCTTCAGCTCTCCAAAAGTTATTAATCTTTCTGCAATTTGCCTTTAAATAGGTGAAGAATTTGTGCCCTAAGTGTAAACGATTAAATGGGCCTAAGCTGGATCGTAATGGGCGCATAAGCCCCCTTCAAGGGCGCTTAAGCCCTTTCTTCGCAGATAAATTTTGCATGGCAGCTAGTGAGCTTAATCTCCCTATAAGGGGGCTTAAGCGCGCTCCTACCGAGGATTTTTGGTCTTTCGGTGCATGTAGCGCGCTTAAGCTTCCTTTTATGGGGCTTAAGCGCGCTCTTCCAGAGCGCTTTACTCTTTCCGTGTAATTTGGGCGCTTATCCCTAAAAGGGGGCTTAAGCATCCTCTTCAAATGATGTAATTTCTTCTATTTTGCACTTGGTAAATCTATGATCTTCAATTCTAAGCACCAAGTCTTTGAACTTTATTTTTGCTTTCATTTATACTCATTTACCTTCAAAACAAGCAAAAATAAATTATTTAGTTCATGCCTTTTCACTTATAAACCCTAATTCTCGTACATTTGACTAGATAATTCATGTAAAATTAGATCTTAAAACATGATAAACTAAAGGTTTATCATTGATCAAAGAAAAGGCTTTATTCTTTGAAGAAAAGAAAGAAAGAAAAGGCTTTATGGTTCTTTATATGATAGCAATGTAGTGCACACCTTCAAGGCTTCAGTCAACACTCAAATTTCTAAGCAAAGTTTCAAATCAGGGCGTTTTGAAACACCCTGATTCTCCGTGTCTAGTAAGGCAGGAGCAAACAAGTAATACATTGGGCTTACAAAAAAATTTTCCGTTGAAACTTGCAACGAAATTTTAAATTTCGTTGCAAATATGGACAAAAAAAAATTTCAACAAACATTTCGAACAAAAACACAATCAACTTGAAGCCTCCAAGGTTGAATAATTTAATATTTGCAACGGAATTTTTTTCGTTGAAATTTTCAACGGAATTAAATTTCCTTGCAAATTTCAAATAAAAACACTGATAAATCCACTTGAATAATTTAAAAATTGCAACAGAATTTTTTCGGTCGAAATTTGCAACATAATATTTTTCGTCCAAAATTTGAATAAAAAAATCTTATTTGCATTTAAATTTTGCAACGGAATTAAACTCTGTTGCAAATTGCAACATAAAAAAATTCTATTGAAAATTTTGAATAAAAAAATCACAACCGCGTGTAACCTCATTAACCAACGAAAACGCTTGAATAATTTAAAATTTGCAACGAAATTAAATTGCGTTGCAAATTTCAATGAAAAAAAATTTTGTTGAAAATTTTGAATAAAAACACAATCCGCGTGACACCTCATTAGCCAATGGAAACGCTTGAATAATTTAAACTTTGCAACAAAATATTTTTCCATTGAAATTTGCAACATAATTTTTTTCATTGCAAATTTTGAATAAAAAAAACAATCCTTGTGTTAGCCAATAGGAATGCTTGGATAATTTAAAATTGGCATCGGAATTTCTTTCCGTTGAAATTGCTATGGAATTTTTTCCGTTGAAATTTCCTATGGAATTTTTTTCGTTGAAATTTGCAATGGAATTTTTGCATTGAAATTTTCAACGGAATTTTTTCCGTCAAATTTTTTGAATAAAAAACAAAATTCTCGTGAAACCTCATTAGCCCAATGGGAATGCTTGAATAATTTAAAATTTGCAACAGAATTAAATTGAGTTCCAAATTTCAACGAAAAAATATTTCGTTGCAAATTTTGAATAAAAACACAATCTGCGTGGAACCTCATTAGCTAATGGGAACGCTTAAATAATTTAAAATTTGTAACGGAATTTTTTCCGTCAAAATTTGCAATGCAATTTTTTTCGTTGAAATTTTTGAAATAAAACCTTTATATACCAATCTATTTCATTAATCCCCAACGTTTTTCACAGTTCCAAATTGCTAATGGGGAAGCAAAACGCAGCTGAGAAGCAAATGCTAAGGGGAAGAAATCCATGGTTGCAAAGAAGCCAACACCGGTGGAGAAGAAGTCGAAGGTTGGCAAGAAGCTATTGAAGGAGGATGTGCTTCGCCAGCGAAAAGAAGAAGAGAAAAAAGAAGATGAAAGAGTGATGCTTTGATAAGAAAATTTCTGTAGTTTTTTTTCAAGTTTTCTTTTTGTTATGGTGATAAAGCCGTAGTTTTGTTTTTGTATTGACAAAATGAGAAACAAGAAGATAAGACCATAGTTTTTATTTAAGTTGCAGTTGTAGAAATTGGGTCTGGTCGATCCTTTTGTGGGTATGAAAATGATTTGGATTGATGATGATGCACTTCTGTTGATTTAGTTCTTCTGTTCTTTTTGATTTTGTCTGTCTATTTTGTGAAGAAGAAGATGAACAAAGTAGAAATGTTGGACTAGTACGAAATGTGTCCTTTTTTTTGTGCCAAAAAAATTTTTCCGTTGGTATTTTCAACGGAATTTATTAAATAAATATTATATTATGGCTTTGTTTGTCGACGGAAAAGTAAGGAAAAAATTCCGTTGAAGTTTTCAACGGAAAAAAATTTCCGTTGCCTTTCGACGAAGGATTTTTAGACGGAAAAATTCCATTGAAAAATACATTTTCAAGAGGAATTTTCATCATTTGCAACGGAAAAAACCATTAAAAATACGAATTTTTCTAGTAATGAACATCACAAATAAATGTTGGCACTTCAATTTTCCAAAACAGATAATTTTAGCTCGTGAATTTTATGTAAAAAAGATTCCGATAGATATTCTTTATAACTCTTGACATTTATATTTTTAACGTTTTATAATTTTATTTGCATGTTACTTTTTTTAATATCTTTATATTGACTCATAAAATAGCATTTTTAAATTAATTTAATATATAGGTTTTTATTTTTGTCATTTTTAATATAAATTATTCGTGGATTCATAGAATGGTAGTTAATTCTTACAATAGTTAAATAAAAAAGATAGTATTAATGGAAGGTAAATTTGTAATTCACTTTACTCTTTACTTACTATTGTAATTACGTCCAAGCAATGAAAATGGGTTTTCTCTTTCATACTACTTCATTATTAATTAATTACTCTATTGCATCATCTTTAAAACTCTTAAACATAACCTAGGTGTAAGAGACCAATAGATACAATCCATTACAATAGATATCAGCTTAATTTTTCGTCCCTTAAAAGATCTATACATACTTTGAGCAATGTATGGATCGTAAACGTTTATTAATACAAATGTTAGCCTTCAATTAGGGCTGCGAAGATTATTTAGTATAAGGCTTAACAGCCTACACTAATGCTTTATAATATGAATCAGACTCACCGTGTGGCAGTTTAACTCACGTTTATACCATTTTATATCTAAGCTCGGGATTGTGGTCAGCTAAAAAAATAAGAGTTTTGCCATAATACAAATTATGAACAAAGTCAAGGGAAGAGAGTCGGTGAGTTCCTCTGTGGGAATGATTAATTACTTGAAAAGTTGTTTAATCAGAGAAGTAAAAGCGAGTCATAAGTACCTTTGATTATTTCCTAACAATCTAGCTTCACCAATCACCACTATTATAATTATAAAATGCTGCAAAGTCCAATGGTCTAGCACACTTGATAAGAGTTGAAAGAAAATTTTATTGAAGTTGTGAACACATGTTCATATTCCAGTCTCTGCCTTTATTATACAAGCCCTGTAGCAGCGCAGTTGATAATAAGTACGCGAAATCATAGCACACTCTGTATAAAATTATTACGAAAACGAACCATAATCCAGTACTCGAACACAAACCTGATGCATGTCCATATTCTTTATAAAACTTCGGGATTCTGACCGAAGTAGCTAGGACTACTCATTCAACTAATGTTTCCTAGATGTTGGGAAAGTGATGAATATCATATTGGCCTCTCAATCCACGTTTACGTTCAAAGCGTGCTTCTTTTTATTTTTCCTTTCAAACTGCCAGCCAAATTAAACTAATACGGATCCATTTGTAAATTGCACACGGGTTTACATATAGAGAAAGAGCAGCAGAGTATTATCATATCAAATTTTATTTTGAAGGAAATGGAAACCTAACACCAACAAATGACAAAATATGATATTATATAAAATTTGATTAAAAAAAATATTTAAACAAACTTCTGAAGTAACATTGATAAATAATGAGATAATGGGTTACATCCATAATATGGCTCTTTCTTCAGTATGGACCCTATTATTCATGAAGGATTACAAACCGCAACAATGTTGAACATAATTTAATTGAAAAAAAATTCAAATTGCGTTAATTGAAAGCTTAATACACCGGAGGTGGGGGTGAACTATAGAGGTAGGGATGATATGGTGGAGGAGGTGATGGGGATGGAGGAGGTGGGGACTTGTAAATGTAAGGAGGAGGTGGGGAAGGTGATGGAGGTGGTGGTGATTTATAGACATAAGGTGGAGGAGGTGATGGAGAAGGTGGAGGTGGAGACTTATATATGTATGGAGGAGGTGGTGAAGGAGAAGGAGGTGGTGGTGACTTATAGACATAAGGTGGAGGTGGAGAGGGAGATGGTGGAGGTGGAGATTTATAGACATATGGGGGAGGTGGTGAAGGAGATGGTGGAGGAGGAGACTTATAAATATAAGGAGGAGGTGGAGATGGAGAAGGTGGTGGTGGGGACTTATAGACATATGGTGGGGGAGGAGAAGGGGATGGTGGAGGTGGAGACTTATAAATATATGGAGGAGGTGGTGAAGGGGATGGAGGTGGTGGTGACTTGTAGACATAGGGTGGAGGAGGTGAAGGGGATGGTGGAGGCGGGGACTTGTAGATATATGGAGGAGGTGGTGAGGGGGATGGAGGTGGTGGTGACTTGTAGACATAGGGTGGAGGAGGTGACGGTGATGGTGGGGGCGGGGATTTGTAGAGATATGGAGGAGGAGGTGAGGGGGATGGAGGTGGAGGTGACTTATAAACATATGGAGGCGGTGGTGATGGAGATGGTGGGGGTGGAGACTTGTAAATATATGGAGATGGTGGTGAAGGAGATGGAGGTGGTGGTGACTTGTAAATATATGGAGGGGGTGGTGAAGGAGATGGTGGGGGAGGAGACTTATAGACATATGGAGAGGGTGGTGAAGGGGATGGAGGTGGTGGTGACTTATAAACATAAGGTGGAGGAGGTGAGGGTGATGGCGGAGGAGGAGACTTATAAACATAAGGAGGTGGTGGTGATGGAGAAGGTGGAGGTGGAGACTTGTAAATATATGGTGGTGGTGGCGAGGGAGATGGTGGAGGTGGAGACTTGTAGATATATGGAGGAGGTGGTGAAGGGGATGGAGGTGGTGGTGACTTGTAAACATAAGGTGGAGGAGGTGAGGGTGATGGTGGGGGAGGAGACTTATAAACATAAGGAGGAGGTGGTGATGGAGAAGGTGGAGGTGGAGATTTGTAAACATATGGTGGTGGAGGTGAGGGAGATGGTGGCGGTGGTGACTTGTACACATATGGTGGAGGTGGTGAAGGGGATGGTGGTGGTGGTGACTTATAAACATATGGTGGGGGAGGGGAGGGAGATGGAGGAGGAGGAGACTTATAAAAGTATGGAGGTGGTGGTGATGGAGATGGTGGTGGTGGTGACTTGTAGACATATGGTGGGGGAGGTGAAGGAGATGGAGGAGGCGGTGAATGGTAAACATATGGTGGGGGTGGTGATGGAGATGGAGGAGGAGGAGATTTATAGACATATGGAGGAGGTGGAGAAGGGGATGGAGGTGGTGGCGACTTATAGACATAAGGTGGAGGAGGTGAGGGAGATGGTGGAGGAGGAGACTTGTACACATATGGAGGGGGTGGTGAAGGAGATGGAGGAGGGGGAGACTTGTAGACATAAGGTGGTGGGGGAGAAGGAGATGGAGGCGGAGGTGATTTGTAAATATATGGAGGAGGAGGTGATGGAGATGGTGGAGGTGGAGATTTGTAGTAATATGGAGGGAACTTGTAGACATAAGGAAGAGGTGGGGATTCATAATAATATGGAGGGTGTTTGTAATAGAAGGGTGGGGTTTCTTCGTGATCATGTGGTGTTGGATTTGGGTAATAGGAGTTTGGTTGGCCTCCATAGTAAGGCTTGTTATCATCAGCAGCAACGGTGCTAGCAATTAAGCAAAATGCTACTGCATATATGAGTCGAGGCCAGTGCCTCGGCCCAGTTGAGGTTCCCATCTCTTCTTTGAACGCAGCCTTAGTCGTCCCTTGTTACTTAGAAGACTTAAGATCTATGCAATTGCTTAGCCAAGTATGGATTGTAACCCTTTTATATAGTGTTAGCCTTCAATCATATACGAGAAGATTTCTTTATTAAATGCGTTAACAGACTGGCTTAATGTTTTAAAATATATTCTAGTTTGGAGATTGTTGCACCCCACCTTTTATGCTATTTTATATTTCAACTTGAAGAAGTAGAGGGTTGGTGATAGCATGGCTGAATGAGTACTTGTTAGATTTGATCAAATATTGTAAGAGCGCGTCCAACAATCAGGTCTTACTCTTTCCATATCAGGTTAAAGCCAATTTGTGAAACAGAAGATAAAGTAAAATGCCTAGTTTGCTCGAATTATCTAATTTGTCTTTTCCTTATAATTTGCTTTGGTGCTTTTTACCAAATGGCAATAATTGGTTCAAGTGAATACTCCTTCTAAATAAATTCAGTTTTTTCTTTTTCTTAAGTTTTGAATTCTATATCTAATATTTCAGATTGAATAAGTGTTGAATTTATAAAAGTTATAATTTGTCATTATTTACTCTAGAACTTTTATTATTAACGATAAGTGAGTATGGACGTGGACATTAAATTGAAAAACAAAATTCATTATCTTATAAATTAAAAAAATGTAATTATGTTAATGTAATTTTATTCTCATATTGTCGGTGGCTTCAACGTACCAGGCGTCCTCGTCAATAGGCTAACACACTTGACAGTTGATTGTATTGAAAAAAATTCTCACCTGTTGCTTAAAAATTTGGGTTCTATTTTTCTCATGTTGTAAGAGATAATTCATTATTTGAGTTATTATTCGTGGTCTGAAATTAATGATGGCTTATGAATGTTTTTCAAAAATAAAATTACCTAAATTAAGCGTGATTGCCTCTTGATTGAAACCCAATTTAGACGTGATTGGTGACGTGTCAGGTGTTGACACATGTCACATTTTTAAACTCAGAAGCCTCTGAGTTCTGCGTTTGTGATTTAATATAAAAAATAAATCAAGATTTGATGTGTGATTTAATTTAATTTTTTTTATTTTTATTATAAAAAAATTTAGTTTGTGATTTAAATTAAAAGTAACAATTATTATTAATAAGGAAAACAAAATAAAGATTTGATTTGTGATTTAAACTCAAAAATCAATTTGAAAAATCTGTATTAATAAAGAAAATAATTAAATAAATATTCTAAATCTCTAAGGAAGAAGGAATACCTAATTTAAATTTAAATTATATTTGTGAGAAATAAAATATATCAAATGAGATGTCATTGTGTAGATCTCGAAAAGTTATGTGGAATCAAAAAAAGAATTACCTGAATTAACCCGAGTCAAAAGTTATGGCCTTCAGAAGTTTTATGATTAAATTATTATTATTTTTAGAAGAAAAAAAATGACACGTGTCAACCTTAGGTGAGAGACGCCCCATTGGGACGTCTTCCCTTAGGTGAGAGACGCCTAAATGAGGCGTCACATGTGATGCCTAAAAAAGGCGTCACATTGTGCAATAGATCCATAATTATTTCTAAAACTACAATAAATGCGTAATTATTTAATTAAAATACAATAATTAAATTTTTTTGCCTACCACAGACATATAATATGGTGGAGCTCACCATCCATTAAAAAAAAAATTGTGGCACAACTTTTTATGTGAAAACAATATGAGATAGTTATCTCTAAGTAAAATAAGACAATGATTTTCCTAAAAAAATTTATACTTTGATTTGGTATAGTTACTGCGTATCCCAGTAAAGAACTACATCAATTCTTTTTTAAAATCAAGAATTAGATCACGATTGCCTACTTTTTAAGAAACATTTAATAATTAATAACTTAAATGAAATATTTATATTTATTTAAAAAATAATAATAAATTCTTTTTGAATTGTTTTTATCATATCACATTGTGTTTTTCATTTAATGCTTAGACATTTTGTCATATCAGTGGTAAATATATTAGAGTAAGTATATGTAAAAATAATGTGATATTGGCCCTAATTAAATTATAAAAATTGTACATAGGTAGATAATGTATATTAAGTGCTATTCTCCCTTTACCGTTATTTTAATTAATCAATAAATACATTATGTGTAGACCTTAACTCGTTTTTGTTGACCTGCATATAAGCTTGCTCTAATGGATTCTTTTCTACCATGTGGCTTGGTTTGTAAACGGTAGAAAGGTAAGTGGATTGCTAAGTTCGAAAGCTCATCTATGGTTATTGTAACTCAAGAATACTAAGTCTCCGAATGTAGATTGACTGGGTAAAGGTTTCCAATATTATTTGTTTTTTAATTATTGGGTTTACTTGTAATATTATTTCATTGATTGCTTAGTTGATCTAATAGGACAAAGAAAACACGTTACTTAACAAATTGCTTGCTTGACCAATGTTTCTTCTTCATTAATTCGATTAGCCTATCTAACGGCCAGATAGATCTCTCGGGAAAAGCACCATTTTGAAATTTTTGGACAAAAGAATTGCCCGGTTAAAGCTGATTGGATAAGTTTTTCCAAAGTAATGCAGTCAAACATGTCACCTATGCTGACGGGATTAGTCCCGTCACTGATACTGACGGGACTCGTGCCACGTCAGCGCCACGTAGGCAATTCAATTACCGTAAATCTTCGGAAGACCATAACTTGTGACTCGGGTATTCAAATCAGATGATTTTTTTTTTGATTTCACATAATTTTTCGAGATCTACGGAATGATACCTCGTTTGACATATTTTATCTCCCACAAACATAGTTTGAATTTGTAACAATTGTATCACAATCACAAGAGTGTTTATTCATAAGACTATGTTTGTGGGAGATAAAATATATCAAATGAGGTGTCATTGCGTAGATCTTGAAAAGTTATGTGAAATTAAAAAAAAATCATCTGATTTGGATACCCGAATCACAAGTTATGGTCTTCCGAAAATTTACGGTAATTGGACTGCTTACGTGGCGCTGACGTGGCACGAGTCCCGTCAGTATCAGTGACGGGACTAGTCCCGTCAGCATAGGTGACATGTTTGACTGCATTACTTCGGAATAACTTATGCAATCAGCTTTAACCGGGCAATTCTTTTGTCCAAAAACTTTAAAATTGTGCTTTAGCCTAGATCTCTCTTATTTTCTTTATTGTTTTTCTTCCAATCGTATCAAATTAATTATATTAGTCAGGATCCCCTATTGTGATTTTCTATCTATGTTTTCCCATTACATTATGATTACGTAGAATGCCATGTCCTCCTGTAATTCTATAAACTAGATAAAACTTCTTTTCACTTTATTTAGTGAATTCATTATACTTTTGGATAGGATATTATGCCTACTTTTTTCATGTCTATTCTCTACCTATTCATTTCCAACATTGTTTGATTAAAATCTTAAGAAGAAAAAGAAGATGAAAATTAATTGAGAATATAATATAATGGTATTGGAGTAAATATAATAAGTATAAAAAAAGATATAGTTGTTAGAAATATTAAGAATCAATTATAATGTTAAAAGGATTTTATTATAATTATAATATTAAGATTCTTGATATCACCCATTAAACGTTATATGGCCCAATTAGTTACTGATACACTTAATCTCAATCATTGATTTGATTTGGTATATGATGGACTTACCAGATTATGAGTTATGGAATATATATATATATATATATATATATATATATATATATATATATATATATATATATTGGGGATGGTCCTCTTTCCCCTTCTACCCTAATGTCATTCTCTCCATCAGAATACATATCAAAGTAAAGAAGGCTTAGAGAAATAAACTACCTTAATACAATTGCTCACAAGACGATGATTGTTGTTAATCCTTCATCATTGTTTCCGGGTATGTCTTTATCTCTTATGTGTATGTGAAAATCATGTATTCCCAAGATCCTTTATCATGTTCTTATATTATGATTTATGAACACGATATATTATGCAAACTAACATGTGGTATCAGAGAAAGGTTTATTTGATTTGATATATTTATTTGATATATATTACAAATTGATTTGACATTTAAATTGATTAAAGAATCAACTTATTATTTTCGAGTCATGGTTTCATGGATTTGAAATACTGTCTAAATTTATAATTATATATGATGGGATATTAATTCCATAATAGATTATGATTGCATATGTAAGTACGTTGATAAGTTTATGAAAAATGTGCATTGTTTATGTTATGAATAATGCGGTATATATTTATGGGCATGATTTCCGCTGCTGCTGAATGAATTTTTTATTTATTTATTTATATATATTATTATATGTATACAGTAATGAATTTGAAATGTGATAGTGATTGGATTAAAATTGAATGTAAAATTTTAATCCTATAAATATTAAAATAAATAAATGCATTGTTTATGTTATGAATAATGCGGTATGTATAATGGCATGATTTTTCGCTGCTGCTGAATGAATTTATTTATTTATTTATTTTGTATGGGCATTAGTATGAAGATTTGCATCATTTATGTTTATAACAAAAATTACAATATGTATATTTGAAGTATGGATTGTAAGGTCTTATATACACTTATTGTTAATTTTTATTGATGCAACATATTGTGATTATGAAATGAAATTTATATGTTAGCCATTTTCACACATTATGTTATAGTTTGTTAGTCATCAAAGTGGTCAAACTAATAGTGTGTAGATAACATAAAAGTTATTTATTTGTAAGCATTATGGTTATAGTTTGTTAGTCACCAAAGTGGCAAAACTAGAATGTTATCGCATGCATAAAATTGTCATTTATCCATGTACTTATGAAATACCAATTACTGATATTGGATAAACTGACGTTGCTAATTATTATAAATGAGAGATTTACCCAAAGGTGAATCATATTATATAATTAGTGACATTATGTGGCAAATTAATATTTTGATTAAATATATTTTGATTATCCAAAGATAATGGATATATTTAGTTGAAAAATATTTTGTCTATTAATGTTCAGTTATTTGCTTATGATGAGTATATTGTAGTATCTACTCAAAGGAGTGCTACTTTGTGCTTGTATAATTTTATTTGAATCACTACTTAATGTTGTTTATAATGTTGGATTTAAGAGTAACATAGAGAATGAGAATTTTGCTTTCTTGTGGCATAAAAGATTGGGTCATGTATCAAAAGAAAGAATAATAAGATTGGTGAAGAATGATATTTTGCTAAATTTAGATTTTACTGATCTTGAATTATGTGTGGATTGCATTAAGGGAAAGGAAACCAAACATAATAAGAAAGATGCCACAAGAAGCACCCAGCTTCTAGAAATTATACACACTAATATTTGTGGACCTATGGACACTCCAGCTTTCAATGGAGAAAAGTATTTCATTACCTTTATTGATGATTTTTCACATTATGGTTACATCTATTTGCTTCATGAAAAATCTCAATCTGTAAATGTCCTAGAGACATTCATTAAGGAGGTTGAGTGACAGTCAGATAAAAAGGTGAAAATCGTAAGGTCAGATACAGGTGGTGAATATTATGGTAAATATAATGAGTCAGGACAATGTCCAAGTCCATTTGCAAAATTCCTCAAAGAGCATGGCATATGTGCGCAGTATACTATGCCAGGCACACCACAAAAAAATGGTGTGGCGGAAAGGCGTGACCGGACATTAATGGATATGGTCAGGAGCATGATAAGTAACTCCTCATTACCCAAAAAAAATTGTGGACTTATGCGCTTAAAAGTGCGACCTACTTGCTGAATAGGATTCCTAGTAAGGCAGTTCAAAAGACTCCTTTAAATTGTGGACAGGAAGAAAACCTAGCTTAAGGCACCTGCATGTTTGGGGTTGCCCAGCTGAAGCAAGGATTTATAATCCACATGATTGAAAGTTAGACTCTCGAACGATTAGTGAATACTTTATTGGTTATCCTGAGAAGTACAAAGGTATGTATTTTATTGTCTGAACCATAGTCCAAGAATTATGGAAACTGGTAATGCAAGATTCATTGAGAACTCCGAAGCTAGTGGGAGTTCTAAAAGGGAAATTATGGAAATATAGGAGACTGAGGTAAATGTTTCATTGCCTATAATTGTTACCCCATCTACTAAATTCCCTAATGTTGTTCCAGTTGTTGTAGAATAAGATGACAACACTGAACAACATTTGAATGAAGAAGTACTCCCAGTAGATGCTAACTTGCAGAATGCTAATGCACAAGAACCAGATGAAATAGAATTAAGAAGATCCCAAAGTGAACGTAGGCCAGCTATTTCGAATGATTATGTGGTTTACCTGCAAAAGTCAGATTATGACATTGGAATCAATAAAGATCCAGTTTCATTTTCACAAGCCATAGAAAGTATAAAATCCGATAAACGGATTGAAGCTATGAAAGAATATCTAAAATCCATGGATCAGAATGATGTCTAGGATCTCGTTAAATTACCTGAAGGTTCCAAAAGATTCGGTTGTAAGTGGGTCTTTAAGAAGAAACGCGACTCTAATGGTAATATCGAACAATATAAAGCTAGACTTGTTGTCAAGGGTTATACTCAGAAAGATGGCATTGATTATAAAGAGACATTTTCACCTGTCTCGAAAAAGGATTCATTGAGGATAATTATGGCATTGGTGGCTCATTATGATTTAGAGCTACATCAAATGGATGTGAAAACAGCCTTTCTTAATGGTGACTTAGAGGAGGAAGTTTATATGGATCAACCTGAAGGTTTTTCCATGGAAAGTGAAAGAAAATTAGTGTGTAAACTCAAGAGGTCAATATATGGACTTAAGCAAGCATCCTAACAATGGTATATCAAGTTCAATACCATTATTACATCTTTTGGATTTGAGAAAAACACTGTTGATCGGTGTATTTACCAAAAGATCAGTGGGAGTAAGTTTGTTTTCTTAGTTTTTTATGTTGACGACATCTTAATTGCTGCAAATGATTTGAGTATATTGCGTGAGACTAAAGATTTTCTCTCAAAGAATTTTGAAATGAAAGATATGGGAAATGCGTCCTATGTGATTGGAATAGAAATATTCTGTGATCGATCACAAGGATGTTGGGACTATCTCAGAAAGGATATATTGAGAAAATTTTAGAGAGATTTAATATGAGTAAATGGTCACCTTGGGTTGTTCCTGTATAGAAAGGTGATAAATTTAATCTCATGCAATGTCCAAAGAATAATGTTGAACGGAAAGAGATGGAATCAATTCCATATGTGTCTGTTGTAGGCAGCTTAATATATGCTCAACCCTGTACTCGGTCGGATATCATGCTCATGTACAAAAGGTCCAATGAATTAGAAGTAATTGGATATACTGATTCAGATTTTGGTGGATGTCTTGATAGTAGAAAGTCAACCTTTGGCTACTTGTTTATGTTTGCTCAAGGAGCCATATCATGGAAAAGTGCAAAACAAACTATCGTTGCTTCATCCACTATGGAGGCAGAATTTGTGGCATGTTTTGATGCCATAACTCATGCATTATGGCTGCAGAACTTTATTTCAGGGCTTGTGGTTGTCAACACCATTAGCAGGCCGCTGAAAATTTACTGTGATAATTCTGCAGCAATATTCTTCTCTAAGAACAAAAGATACTCTAAAGGTGCCAAACGTATAGAGTTAAAGTATTTTTCCGTTAAAGAGGAGGTTCAAAAACAGAATGTCAATTATGCACATCAGAACTGAACACATGATGACAGACCCTTTGACGAAAGGGTTACAACCAAAGCTATTTAAAGAACATGTTGAAAGTGTGGGCCTTGGTTGTATTAAAGATTATTGATATGTGACACTCTGAGCTCACCTATGTGTTTCTGACATACATTATGTTTCCTTGTTATTTTATGGTTGTATACACATTATGAATTTTGACAAGGAAGTCTTTGGAAGACATTATGTGGACCATTATGTTTCCTATATTGTGAATTTTATATGATGGATTGTTGGTGTTGTAGTATATGGAAGGGAATGTACTGAATTAATAGCGCACTACCGCCATAACTCACACTTGACAATTTATCTTTTATGATGACTAACATTAGATATGCATGTATATTAAGATTAATCGGGCCAAGCGGGAGAATGTTAGAAATATTAAGAATCAATTATAATGTTAAAAGGATTTTTAATAATTATAATATTAAGATTCTTGATATTACTCATTAAACGTTATATGACCCAATTAATTACTGATACACTTAATCTCAATCATTGATTTGATTTGGTATATGATGGACTTACCAGATTATGAGTTATGAATATATATATATATATATATATATATATATATATATATATATATATATATATATATATATTAGGGATGATCCTCTCTCCCCTTCTACCCTAATGTCATTATATCCATCAGAATACATATCAAAGTAAAGAAGGCTTAGAGAGATAAACTACCTTAATACAATTGCTCACAAGACGATGATTGTTGTTAATCCTTCATCATTGTTTTCGGGTATGTCTTTATCTCTTATTTGTATGTGGAAATCATGTATTCCCAAGATCATTTATCATGTTCTTATATTATGATTTTCACATACACATAAGAGATAAAGACATACCCGGAAACAATGATGAAGGATTAACAGCAATGATGAAGGATTATGCAAACAATGATGAAGATAAAGATATATTATGCAAACAATGATAAAGGATTAACATCAGTCATCGTCTTGTGAGCAATTATATTAGTGTAGTTTCTCTCTCTAAGCCTTCTTTTCTTTGATATGTATTCTGATGGAGAGAATGACATTAGGGTAGAAGGGGAGAGAGGACCATCCCTAATATATATATATATATATATATATATATATATATATATATATATATATATATATATCATAACTCATAATCTGGTAAGTCCATCATATACCAAATCAAATCAATGATTGAGATTAAGTGTATCAGTAATTAATTGGGCCATATAACGTTTAATGGATAATATCAAGAATATTAATATTTTAATTATAATAAAATCCTTTTAACATTATAATTGATTCTTAATATTTCTAACATTCTCCCACTTGGCCCGATTAATCTTAATATACATGCATCTCTAATGTTAGTCATCATAAAAGATAAATTGTCAAGTGAGTTATGGCGGTAATGCGCTATTAATTCAATACATTCCCTTCCATATACTACAACACCAACAATCCATCATATAAAATTCATAATATAGGAAACATAATGGTCCACATAATTAATGTCTTGCAAAGACTTCCTTGTCAAAATTCATAATGTATATACAACCATAAAATAACAAGGAAATATAATGTATGTCAGAAACACATAGGTGAGCTCAGAGTGTCATACATCAATAATCTTTAATACAACCAGGGCCTATACTTTCAACATGTTCTTTAAATAGCTTTGGTTGTAACCCTTTCGTCAAGGGGTCTGTCATCATGTGTTCAGTTCTGATGTGTATAATTGACACTCTTTGTTTCTGAACCTCCTCTTTAACGGAAAAAAACTTTAACTCTATACGTTTGGCACCTTTAGAGTATCTTTCGTTCTTAGAGAAGAATACTGCTGCAGAATTATCACAGTAAATTTCCAGCGGCCTGCTAATGGTGTCGACAACCACAAGCTCTGAAATAAAGTTCAGAAGCCATAATGCATGAGTTGTGGCTTCAAAACATGCCACAAATTCTGCCTCCATAGTGGATGAAGCCATGATAGTCTGTTTCGCACTTTTCCATGATATGGCTCCTTGAGCAAACATAAACAAGTAGCCAAAGGTTGACTTTCTACTATCAAGACATCCACTAAAATCTGAATCAGTATATCCAATTACTTCTAATTCATTGGACCTTTTGTATATGAGCATGTGATCCTTCGTGCCTTGAAGGTATCTTAAAACTTTCTTTGCAGCTTTCCGATGTTCCATTCCTGGATTACTTTGATATCTTCCCAACATCCCAACCGCAAAACTGATATCCGGCCGAGTACATGTTTGAGCATACATTAAGCTGCCCACAACAGAGACATATGGAATTGATTCCATCTCTTTCCATTCAACATCATTCTTTGGACTTTGCATGAGATTAAATTTATCACCTTTCTGTACAGGAACAACCTCAGGTGAGCATTTACTCATATTAAATCTCTCTAGAATTTTCTCAATATATCCTTTCTGAGATAGTCTCAACATCCTTGTGATCGATACCGAAATATTTCTATTCCAATCACATAGGACGCATTTCCCATATCTTTCATTTCAAAATTCTTTGAGAAAAAATCTTTAGTCTCACGCAATATACTCAAATCATTTGCAGCAAGTAAGATGTCGTCAACATAAAGAACTAAAAAAACAAACTTACTCCCACTGATCTTCTGGTAAATACATCGATCAACAGTGTTTTCCTCAAATCCAAAAGATGTAATAATGGTATTGAACTTGATGTACCATTGTCGGGAAGTTTGCTTAAGTCCATATATTGACCTCGTGAGTTTACACACTAATTTTCTTTCACTTTCCATGGAAAAACCTTCAGGTTGATCCATATAAACTTCCTCCTCTAAGTCACCATTAAGAAATGTTGTTTTCACATCCATTTGATGTAGCTCTAAATCATAATGAGCCATCAATGCCATAATTACCCTTAATGAATCCTTTTTCGAGGTAGTGAAAGTGTCTCTTTATAATCAATGCCATCTTTATGAGTATAACCCTTGACAACAAGTCTAGCTTTATATCGTTCGATATTACCATTAGAGTCGCGTTTCTTCTTAAAGAACCACTTACAACCGAATCTTTTGGAACCTTCAGGTAATTTGACGAGATCCTAGACATCATTTTGATCCATGGATTTTAGATATTCTTTCATAGCTTCAATCCGTTTATCGGATTTTATACTTTCTATGGCTTGTGAAAATGAAATTGGATCTTTATTGATTCCAATGTCATAATCTGACTTTTGCAGGTAAACCACATAATCATTCGAAATAGCTGGCCTACGTTCCCTTTGGGATCTTCTTAATTCTATTTCATCTGGTTCTTGCGCATTAGCATTCTGCAAGTTAGCATCTACTGGGAGTACTTCTTCATTCAAATGTTGTTCAGTGTTGTCATCTTATTCTACAACAACTGGAACAACATTAGGGAATTTAGTAGATGGGGTAACAATTATAGGCAATGAAACATTTACCTCAGTCTCCTTTATTTCCATAATTTCCCTTTTAGAACTCCCACTAACTTCGCAGTTCTCAATGAATCTTGCATTATCAGTTTCCATAATTCTCGGACTACGGTTCAGACAATAAAATACATATCCTTTGTACTTCTTAGGATAACAAATAAAGTATTCACTAATCGTTCGAGAGTCTAACTTTCGTTCATGTGGATTATAAATCCTTGCTTTAGCTGGGCAACCCCAAACATGTAGGTGCCTTAAGCTAGGTTTTCTTCCTGTCCATAATTTAAAAGGAGTCTTTTGAACTGCCTTACTAGGAATCCTATTCAGCAAGTAGGTTGCACTTTTAAGCGCATAAGTCCACAATTTTTTTTTTGGGTAATGAGGAGTTACTTATCATGCTCATGACCATATCCATTAATGTCCGGTCACGCCTTTCCGCCACACCATTTTTTTGTGGTGTGCCTGGCATAGTATACTGCGCACATATGCCATGCTCTTCGAGGAATTTTGCAAATGGACTTGGACATTGTCCTGACTCATTATATTTACCATAATATTCACCACCTCTATCTGACCTTACGATTTTCACCTTTTTATCTAACTACCACTCAACCTCCTTAATGAATGTCTCTAGGACATTTACAGATTGAGATTTTTCATGAAGCAAATAGATGTAACCATAATGTGAAAAATCATCAATAAAGGTAATGAAATACTTTTCTCCATTAAAAGCTGGAGTGTCCATAGGTCCACAAATATCAGTGTGTATAATTTCTAGAAGCTGGGTGCTTCTTGTGGTATCTTTCTTATTATGTTTGGTTTCCTTTCCCTTAATGCAATCCACACATAATTCAAGATCAGTAAAATCTAAATTTGGCAAAATATCATTCTTCACCAATCTTATTATTCTTTCTTTTGATACATGACCCAATCTTTTATGCCACAAGAAAGCAAAATTCTCATTCTCTATGTTACGCTTAAATCCAACATTATAAACAACATTAAGTAGTGATTCAAATAAAATTATACAAGCACAAAGTAGCACTCCTTTGGTAGATACTACAATATAGTCATCATAAGCAAATACCAGAACATTAATAGACAAAATATTTTTCAACTAAATATATCCAATATCTTTGGATAATCAAAACATATTTAATCAAAATATTAATTTGCCACATAATGTAACTAATTATATAATATGATTCACCTTTGGGTAAATCTCTCATTTATAATAATTAGCAACGTCAATTTATCCAATTTATATCAGTAATTGATATTTCATAAGTACATGGATAAATGACAATTTTATGCATGCGATAACATTCTAGTTTGGCCTCTTTGGTGACTAAAAAACTATAACCATAATGCACACAAATAAATATAGATAAATGATAATTTTATGCATACGATATCATTCTAGTTTGGCCACTTTGGTGACTAACAAACTATAACCATAATGCACACAAATAAATAACTTTTATGTTATCTACACACTATTAGTTTGGCCACTTTGGTGACTAACAAACTATAACATAATGTGTGAAAATAACTAACAGATCAATTTCATTTCGTAATCACAATATGTTGCATCAATAAAAATTAACAATAAGTATATATAAGACCTTACAATCCATACTTAAAATATACATATTGTACTTTTTATTTTATTTTTTATAAACATAATTGGTGCAAATCTTCATACTAATGCCCATATAAAAAAATAAAAATAAATAAATAAATTCAGCAGCAGTGAAAAATCATGCCCATAAATACATACTGCATTATTCATAACATAAACAATGCATTTATTTATTTATTTTAACACTTATAGGATTAAAATTTAACATTCAATTTTAATCCAATCACTAACACATTTCAAATTCATTACTGTATATATATAATAATATATATAAATAAAAAATTCATTCAGCAGCAGCAGAAATCATGCCCATAAATACATACCGCATTATTCATAACATAAACAATGGACATTTTTCATAAACTTATCAACGTACTTACATACGCAATCATAATCTATTATGGAATTAATATCTCATCATATATAATTATAAATTTAGACAGTATTTCAAATCCATGAAACCATGACCCGAAAATGATAAGTTGATTCTTTAATCAATTTAAATGTCAAATCAATTTGTAATATATATCAAATCAAATCAAAATCTTACCTATTTTGACCTAGTTATATATATCTATATATGTATACAAACCATCGTACGTAATAGTATTTACATCATTTATGTTGACGACATCTAAATTGAATTTAACATATAACCATTTTGTTATATACAGCCGAACATTATCGAGAGAAAGCAAAACTAATCAATCATAATTCTAAGCAAAACTAATGGACACAAAATTGTATACATCGTTTCCGTAAAGCATAATAGGCACAATTTTTGTCCTTTTGTGAATTGGCAAAGATAAGATTTGGATTCAGAAACAGTAATTTGCAAAAATATGACGTGTATTCAGAAACATGAAATCATGGAATCATATTAAAAATCATTAGGGAAAAACATAAATTTAAGAAACCTTAACCTTTCAAAAAAATCAAGAATACGATCATAATCATACATGGAAAAACATGAATTCCTCAACCTTGCTCTGATACCACATGTTAGTTTGCATAATATATCTTGTTCATAAATCATAATATAAGAACATGATAAAGGATCTTGAGAATACATGATTTTCACATACACATTAGAGATAAAGACATACTCGGAAACAATGATGAAGGATTAACAACAGTCATCGTCTAGTGATCAATTATATTAGGGTAGTTTCTCTCTCTAAGCCTTCTTTACTTTGATATGTATTCTGATGGAGAGAATGACATTAGGGTAGAAGGGGAGAGAGGACCATTCCTAATATATATATATATATATATATATATATATATATATATATATATATATATATATATATATATATATATATATTTCATAACTCATAATCTGGTAAGTCTATCATATCCCAAATCAAATCAATGATTAAGATTAAGTGTATCAGTAATTAATTGGGCCATATAACGTTTAATGGGTAATATCAAGAATCTTAATATTATAATATAATAAAATTCTTTTAATATTATAATTGATTCTTAATATTTCTAACACTTATTCTTTTCCCACGTGTTCACATTTTTTCTCCGCGTACACCTAGTATGATGAATAATAGGTTTTATATTTGTTATTTTAGAGGAAAGTTAATGTGTATTCCTACACAAACAATAAGAAAGAGAGAGAAAGTGAGACGATGAAGGAGAAATAAAAAGACAATGTGGACCCCACTTGAAATTGTCTCTACAGAATTCTTTTCCCTCATCGCTACAAGAAAAAATCTTATTAGTGACAAAATTTTATGAAATTTTGTCACAAATTCTTGCGTCGCAAGTTTATTTGTGACGAAATTTGATTAGTTGTGTCGAAAATTGTCATTTGTGACAAAATTTATGACGAAATTTTTTGTCACAAATAAACTTTTTTCTTGTAGTTGTAACATATGACAATCGACAATCCTTTAAATAATGCATGGGAAGATGCAAATCTACAGCAAAAACGAATGATTCATTAATGGGTCCCCAACTTCTTCTTTGATTGCAAAAGGATTTTTTTGCGACAACAATTAATATTATTCTTACTAACAAGACATAGTGTTAATTAATTGCTGCAAAAAATATTTTCTCTTATAAAAGAAGAAGTACATTTCCCTTCATTAATTAGATCAAATTGAAAATATGTATCCCCACACCATTCATTATTGCAATATATTGCCTTTAACAATTGACCAAAGTGAAGGATATATATATATATATATATATATATATATATATATATATATATATATATATATATATATATATATGGGTTTGATGTTTGTCATTTTAAATGACATAAGTTATGTCATTTTAGGAGAGATAGACACAAGAAAA